TCAAGAGGGTCAGTATAAATATGTAAATATATACAATATTTAAAGATGCAGATAGGTAAATGTCACGTTTCAGTCCTATCACCAAGTTGCTAATTTCCCTAAAACACTGGAGCATACATACATCCTAAAATACCTAATATGTGTAAGTGCTCCATATATACCATTAAAATATCATACCTTATTATCCCTATCACAACGTAATCAGCATGTAAAATCACACATTCTTTTCTGATGAGATAATAGAATCATAGAATCATAGAATCATAGAATCGTCAAGGTTGGAAAAGACCCTTAAGATCATCAAGTCCAACCGTCAACCTATCACTGCCAAGTCCATCTATACCATGTCTTCAAGCACCGTATCTATCCGTTCTTTAAATACCTCCAGGGATGGAGACTCTGTTTCTCTTGAATCTGCATCAATGTAGTTATTCCCTCCTGCACACAATAAAAATTCTACTATACAATAGATATTTATGAGATATTTAAATGAAAATTTTCAATACTGAAAACCTAAACTTCCTATTTGGAAGCCCAAATGCAGATTTTGGAATCTAAATTTTGAGAACACAGCACTATTTTCATAGAATCATAGAATCATTAAGGTTGGAAAAGACCTTTAAGATCAAGTCCAACCATTAACCTATCACTGCCAAGTCCACCACTAAACCATGTCCTCAAGCACCACGTCTACCCTTCTTTTAAATACCTCAAGCACTTCCCTGGGCAGCCTGTTCCAATGCCTGACTATCCTTTTGGTGAAGAAGTTTTTCCTGATATCCAACCTAAAGTCCCCCTGGCACAGCTTGAGGCTGTTTGCTCTTGTCCTATCACTTGTTACTTGGGACAAGAGACCAACTCCCACCTCGCTACAACCTCCTTTCAGGTAGTTGTAGAGAGCAAGAAGGTCTCCCCTCAGCCTCCTCCAGACTAAACAACCCCAGCTCCCTCAGCCGCTCCTCAGAAGACTTGTGCTCTAGACCCTTCACCAACTTTGTTGCCCTTCTTTGGACACGCTCCAGCACCTCGATGCCCTTCTTGTAATGAGGGGCCCAAAACTGAACACAGTACTCGAGGTGCAGCCTCACCAGTGCTGAGTACAGGGGCACTATCACCTCCCTGCTCCTGCTGGCCACACTATTCCTGATACAAGCCAGGATGCCATTGGCCTTCTTGGCCACCTGAGCACACTGCTGGCTCGTGTTCAGGAGGCTGTCGACCAACACCCCCAGGTCCTTTTCTGCCAGGCAGCTCTCCAGCCACTCCTCCCCAAGCCTTTAGCATTGCATGGGGTTGTTGTGACTGAAGTGCAGGACTCAGCACTCAGCCTTGTTGAATCTCATACAGTTGGCTCCGGCCCAATGATCTAGCCTTTCTACTGTTTGGCGTAGTATACTTCTATAATTTCATTACGAAATTACTATTAATGCAAGAAAACATTGTTTATGATGGTACTTAGATCGAATTATACATTAGTAAACATTAATATTTTCCTTTCAGTATGTTAAAAAACTTGTCATACCCCTTTAACATGCTGTTTAAGAAATGTTCCTTTAAGATCTGAAATTATTTGCTATTATATCAACTCAAAATTAATTACTCCAAATAAACCTGTGCAAAGTGAAGGAAATAAGCCATCTCTTTTACTTTTTCTCAAAACAATAAACTAAGAACTAGTACAAACTGAGGGTGCAGTAACTAATTGTAAATCTAAGTGGAGCTCACCCATTCATAAACAGAATACTGACTTCAGAGATAGATGGTGAGATCTGACTGAATTTTTTCACTACGTTTGAAAAATGCCAATTACAAATATCATTATTACTACTATTACACAAAGAGCAACATATAGGAAATTAGATGATCAATTTACCTGGCTGTATCATCTACTAAATTAGGATGGGTAAACTAGTTTGCAACTGATACACGTTGGCATTGATTCACTTTATACAGACTAAAAAATGACTGAAGTTTAGAATTTAAACTAATAACATCAAATAAATCTCTAGGTTGAGCTTTGAAAAGCCAGTTAGGCCATACACAAATCAAGCCGTGCTTCGGAGATCACTGCTGTAACTCTGCCCTTTGCATTCAAAATGTTAACTCAGTCTTCAGCACTTTATAACAAGACAAAATACTTTCCCCCTAACTTGGATAACAAGAGAGCTGTTCTGATTAGAGCGTTCTGGAACGCCTCGGATGAAAAGAAGATTTTTATTAAAAAACATTAACTTGTGGTATCTGGAAAAATGTGCATCATGGGCCAAAGTTATGACAGATGATTGCCTGCCTGTAAACCCAGCCTCTCTATATGCCAGGAAGGGCTCCCTCTGAGCCTGGGTGAGCCGGAGAGCATCAGCTTTCAGGTTCCCGCTTTGAATTATGCCTAGACCCAAAGACATGTCTACACTGCGGGTTAGACATGTTCCAAATCCAGCTTTGCCTGTCTTCATGCTATTTCTGGGCAAAGATGCCCAAGCTCTGCGGCTCACTGGCAACGTTGCCTACAAACTTCTCAATTCCTAACAGCCCAGATGCTTATGTACATCAATCGGAAAGCTTAGGCCCAAGCAAGGTCACCACTAGATCTTCCAGACTTGGTCCTTCATCAGCAAGAACAGATGCTTTGAGCCTGAGGCACAGCCAAGTCAAATTTCCAACAGTTTTCATGGAAGCCTGTCAAGCTGTAGGGCAGCCTCAACTTCCAAACCACCAAGCAAGGACTTCAAGTTGCTGACATGGATGCGAGGAATCTGCCCTGAGGTTGCAGGCCTTGGGAACCAGGCAGGCCCTGCTAATAATGGTGACGCTCACAAGAATGACATACTGTGGCTCCAGGAGGACACATTCCTTCAAAAACACCACGTGTCTGCAACATGTTTCAAAAAACTTGAAATTTCTGGTGAACTGAAAGCCTCAGTCTGTGGCCAGGTCCAGTCCTTACATGCCGCTTCCCACAAAGTACAGGCTCTCTTATGCCCCCTCCCTGTGTACTTCTCTGAAGACTTCTTTATGGCAATCCACTAGCACAAACCCACTCCCCTGCACCACTGAACATGTTCTTCTTTCCCTTGGACAGACCATGACCTTTCAGATCAGACCTCATGTTCCTCAGAAATAAGGACTTAGACTTCATGTACAAGGATGTGAACACAACTGCTCACTCCTAAGTGCCTCTGTGTATGAAGAAGACAGATTAGGGTATAGACACAGACTATTACACTTGAGTTTGGAGATGCAAGATAAACTGGCTTTTTATGGGGGAAGTCCAAAGAACCAAGCTCATCCAGTGAGCTCCTCTGCTTCCGTGAACCACCTGGATCAGTATTTTTTTCATACACAGCTTCAGAATTCTTCAGTGAATAAACTGCTGTGCTGTACTGTTAAGGCTATAACATGCCAATTAGCAGAAGAAAATCTACTATCCCTAAGATGCAGTTGATTAACTTCCATTGAAGTCAGTGAGGCTAACAATTGTGTATGAAGAAGTAGCTACAAGTCTACTATCTGGCTATGCACAGCACATGAAAACACACTGAACTTTATTGAATATGCTGGTAAGATACAGTAGTACTTTCTCTTTTTGCTCTGGATAAAATGAAATATATCCAGAAATCAGAAACAGATTTGGAAAATAACTAGCATTGTTATACTTTTCTACAAATCTGAAAAATCAGTCCTATACAGGCAACTCAGTAATGATGTTTCTTATATCTAAAACAATCATATCTTTACATACAGCTACCTTAATGAAAGAAAACACTATTTTCAAATTTAAAGAAATCAACTATTTTATTGTAAGTATAAAAAATAAATACTCCGCTAAGGAATGGAAGAAAAAATAAAGCACATTTAAATAATTTCATTACATTGTAAGATGCCAAATCATCTGTGAGTGGTTTCTTTTTAGATGAAAAGAAATCAAAATATAGGACAGATGTTGGACAAACCACATTTGAGGTCTATCACACACTGGCATTTTTCAAATGATTTTGGCTCATCTATTAAATAAGGTGTATTTTCCTTGATTTTGAAAAGGGAAACATCAGGAAATATTTAAAGGCCAATTGCTGCCAATTAACTTTGATCAGCAAAAGTTGCATTTGAATCTTTTAGATTCTTTTGCCTGTCTGGAATAACACACTATTCTAAAATCTAGCAAAACAACAACTTGATGATTAATATATGTTGGCAGCCCCACCAAAAGCTTGCTTAACAGTTGGATTTTAAATAAACAGCTGTCTTCATTATGATGGGGAAGAAATCTGACTGTTTTCATGTTATTAAAATATGAACAGAAATCGTTTTTTTCCCTTTTAAGATGAAACAGCCAAGCATTATGGTGTCAGCCTCTTTCAGCAGTTCAGATAGTTTCAGAACGATCTCACAAGCGTCGCCAAACCATAGCCTATGTAGCCTGAAAAAGCCCTTGGCATGCCGACACCAGCTCCTCGCCACACGCCACAGGGGAGAGGCAGAGAAACCCTAGTGCGTAACAAATCGTACCTGCCGCTGGGGAAGGCGGAGGACCCCCAGTAACAGGCCACTGAGATGGACAGCATATACAACATTAATGATTTCCTTCGGGTTTAAGATAATACTTGGCCACAGTGGGATGTAAGTGAGAAATCTCTATCCAGCCATTAACTGTTTATAGAAGCTGAAGTTTAATATTTAATGGCCTGTGCAGACTATTGAATTCTAAAGTTTATAGACACTTTTGGTGTATCCGCTTCTAAAACTTGTCTACTGTAGTCATAAATACTAAGACTTGTGAAGACAAAACCCTACCATTTAAACTATTGTAACCTTTGAATGCCATTGCAGACATTTAGTGTAGATATTATTATATATCCTAATGACTAAATTATACAGATATTTTCTAAACGTTTCCATTTTAAAAGTATGAAACCAAAAATACTTATTAAACCATCTAATAACACATAAAAAGAGACAAATATTAAATCACCTCTATGTGTTTTCAAAGAATGAACACTTACTTCTAAATCGTTAAAGAATAGATGCGTGTCCGCCAAATTGAAAATCATCTCTTCCATTCGGAGTCCAAGAGACACAGAGGTGGGTGGATCCTTAAAGACGAAATTAAGCAAGTACACCATCAATACCATGCCTAACATACATACCAGAATACAAACTGGAGGAATTGCTTTTCAAGAGAGATTATTGGATGTATTAAATGCAACATCCACTTGTTCAGTTTAACTTCAGCAACTCTCTAATCCTGTACTATAACACTTACCAGTAACACTCAAAAATATGACTTTAACTGATTCTGCAGCGGGACCTCTGTGGTCACCCTCATGCATCCCTGGCATGGGCTCTCTGCCTTCCGTGCAGAAAGGGCAAATCCATTTCTCCTAAAACTTCTCCAGATTTTACAACTTTTTACAAGTTTTATGATCAACCTGGGGCACAATAATGCTATTGTTACTCAAAATATACTCTCGCTGATCACAAGTGAAAGGATTCGGTCCTGGGAATACCTAGTGACTTTAAAGCAAATCACCGTTAATGTTTTATTTGCAAATGGCAATTATATTTAAAACCACTCCTTGATTCTCCACAAAACCATGCTTTAATTATGCTTTCAGCTTGGCCCACCCATGCAGAGTGAACAAATCTATTGTTTGTTATTAATACATAACACACTTTAATTTCGCTGCAGAAATTACCATAACAACTTATTCCTTACTGAGCTAATAAACTCAAAAAGCATGTTCAGCATTGTGGTTACCAAATGCATTACAGATGTTTGTCTTGTTTTGACTTTTTTTTGTGTTTTATATATTTTGAATCCGAAAAATCGAAAAGAAAGGCTAATATATACATTTGATATAGAGTTTCTAATTTATAATGCCAAGTATATCCAAGCGCACAGAAGCATGAGTTTGAAAGAACATGTTATATTATCTCATGACACCCTCTATTAACAATGTTAGTTTATTAGGAATTACATTTTAAATAGAACTGCAGAAGTGCAAACTCGTATTTTACTTAAAATAAGTTAATATTCTAAACCTGATGACAACTCAAAGTTAAAAACCAAGAGATGCAGTCCCGAGTTTCTTTTTCCACCTCTCAATCAAATTAATAGGTGTTTCAACATGATCTCTGAACTTTCAAACATTTTTCTATAACTACTGGTTAAAAGGCAAAATGTGTCAGTAGCAAAGAGTTGGAAAAGAATGGTGATTTGGCAGCTTGTTTGTCTTCTGGAAATGCCAAAACCTAAGTAAAACAAACCAGAAAAAAGAATTTTGGAAAGAAGTATTTAGAAATGAAGCTACACAGAACAGGCAAAACATCTATTCTTGAACTCATGTACATTAAGAGTAAATAAGTTTTCTAGTATTAAAAAAATAGCCCTAATAAATGGGGAAGAGAAATTGCATCATGCTATTTTGATGAACTTTGCCCTTAAAAATAAGCCTTCTATTTAAACTGGCAGTGACAAAAAAAGAATATCTGGCTTCTTAATTCAAATGGAAAGACTTTAAAATATGAACAAAAGTATTCTGTCTCTCTGTTTTAACATTGCTCTCTTTGTAGACCTATGTCTTCCTTTATTTTACTTTTGTAGGCATGTGAGGTGGAAAGCAGGTGATATTTTCTCTCTAGCTAGGCCTGAGGCTACTTTTCCCTCTGACAT